ACGAACGAACTAGTGCACATAACTTGAGGACCTTAGTTTCATGAATCTGTTATCCTCATATATCCAGTTACAGTAAGATCAGTAACTTCGATGCAGGGTAGAAGTGGAGTGGACAAAGTGGGTTTAGTACGAAGGAGGAGGCAAGCCTGGAGGGACTAATATACAAGCTTAAGCAGATTGATGAATGTAAATGTTTTCACCAACTTTTCTGATCAATACAGATAGAGATTGGAAAAACTAAAGTCGAGCTATCCTCACAAGTAAGACAAGGATAAAGTGGAATCCGCAGATAAAAGTGTGAAAACTGTTTACGCCACGTCCGGTCGTCCTGAACACGTGAGTAGACCACGGATGCCTGATTGTGCGTACGGGCGTTTTCTGATTAGAGAGATTCAGATTGCGTGAACGAATAGCCTGGGCAATGGCCGGTTATTGGTAGGTAGATAGATGCGTGGTACAGTATTCGGAAAGCGTGTTATAATTAATCACGTTACTCCTCTCAGCAAAGGAAGTGACCACCGCACCAGTAATAGGCCTCCTCAAACCGGCACTCAGCCTTACTCTCTTGCCTAACTACCGTGTCCTGAGGCCTATGTATTATACTGTACAACGGCATGCAAAGGAGTAGATTACCAAGCTTTGAATGTGGGTCGCAGCTTATATTTGAGATGTAGGGACATCAACTGAGGAATCGTAAGGCATATTTTGGGTGAAGCGGCCGATTAGGTTTTCCTAAGTGTGAGGTATACGCCGAGTCAGACAGTCAGCCGCCAGAAGATGAATGAGGGTGGATTTCTTCTTAACTGTGACCGGTTTGGTGTTCACAGCTGTAGCAGTTATATGTTTTGAGATGAACCTGTCCGACCATTTTCATGAAGCCTGCTAACTAACCATTGGAGTTAGGCTTCAAAATCCTGTCAGCAAGACACCGAACTAAATGTAGTTTACCTTTCACTGAGACAAAGCCGGCTCCGGTAAACCGACCACTTCATTCAGCCATCAGGCACGCTTAGCAGCCGCACACCAAAGACATGGAAAGGGTTGTCATTTTCCTCTTCAAAGATAACCTGAATGATCTGATGTCCTTGGTTTAGATTCATTCAAATTTCCAGCAGCTCTGAGGGTTTGTCTTTGATGGCGAATATGTCGTTCACATATCGCCGGTAGGAATGTCTCTTTTCTATACTTCAGCGGAGTTTCCAAGCCGTCCCATAAAAACATTGGTGAGAAGTGAGCCTAGTGGAGGACCCATTGGGGTACTGTCAAATGCCTGCCTCTAGAAGCTGTTTTGGCGTTGGTATTAATTAAGTACAAAACCGTAACTTTCAGTTCATTGCCCATAAATCTGTAAGTGACCGTAAGTTTCTCGTTAATAGGATCTTGTGTAACTATGGTACCATGGGTCAAGAACATTTTGCCACCCACCCATTTTCAAAATCGCGATCACCACCAATGCAAAACCAAAACTAATCACAGAAGCCATG